GGTGGCACACTAAGCCACAACCAGTATTATGGTTTATTGCATGTGAACCTCTGCAGTGATTTTTCTAGCAACACCCAGGCACCATTAGATCGGATTAGACCTAGTTGGCTGGTTCACATCAAACTTTGGATTCTAGTTTCCTAACTAGACTGGCTGGGCCACAAACCTTTTGGCTTAGGCAAGTCAATGACTGGTTCAAAGCACCACAAGTTCCCAGCAGTGGGAGCCTGGGTCTCCGTCATTATAAATGTTATAACTAGCACCGTTGGATTTTCACAGCAAGATAAATCTAGAGCCACTGTTTAATAGCTTAGAGTAGTGTTTCTCAACTTTGACAACTTCAAGACAAGTCCCCAGACAACATGAAGAGTGAGTAAAATGAAGAGTGAGTAGCAAAATCCCCAGATTCCTCCAAAACTGTGCAACCAGACCTTGTGCAATCAGACTTTAGGATTATTCTATTTGTCCAGCCAAACTTTGTTGGGAGTGCCTGCAAGAGAATGTGGAACTACTGGATCCCCTTGGAAGGCAGAGCTAATTCCTAAAAGATGGAATGGTGAACGGAGCGGGAGGGAGAGAAGGGTAGCCCAATCTGAAGGGATCTTGTTTTGGGCAACAATTAGTCCTTTCATTGTCCTTGCAAAATCTCGCACTGCTGAAGAAAGAGGCACTTCTTGAAGACCCCTATTCTGCTTTTCTTCAACACAGCCCAGCCTTAGAAATGCATTTCAAACCCCCAGCCTGATAAGAAGCCAGCTGGCAAGGAAACACTGCCCTTTTTTAATCCTTAAAGCGCTCCCAGCATCCCAGTTTATCGTTCCAGCAGTAGCTCTGCAGGTGGAACTAGAAAAATATGCATAACCAAAAGTGGGCCCCCTGTCCCAATCTTAGCGGTATTTGCCACGATCTCCTCTCCGAGAAGGGAAATCTCTTCAAGCTAGCCCTCCCTTCCCCCTTCCCAGATGTGTTTGCCTCTGACAAGTGCTTAACCTCTTTAGCAGCTGTTTTCATGGGCAGAGGAGATCAGAGGGGATTTACAAGGTGCTGCAGCAGGACACACACACACACAAACACACACACATACTGCCTCATCTAATCTATATACTACTAAAACTTTCACATCTGTAACCATTAACTGGGCGAAATGGTGCATCAGAGGGCAAAACGTTTTGAACCAAAATAGCTCAAGGGGGCTACGTAAAGAACGTGTCCCAAATCTGGGATCTATGGCTCCTGTGGAATTGAAATTTGGCCAATTTTATAAAGCATTTTATAAAGCATTTTATGACATAATACAAAGTGTCACAAAGCATCTCCAGTGGTCAACTCCTGATGTTTTGACTGTGTTATACAACCGCCACATGGGCTACTTTCAAGGCAGATATGTCTAGAACATAGACTAATAAGAGTTGGAAGGGGCCTTGGGAGGTCCACTAGTCCAACCCCCTGCTCGAGCAGGAGACCCTGTGCCATTTCAGACATAGGGTTGTCAAGTCTCTTTTTGAAAGGCTTCGGTGATGGAACACCCACAACTTCTGAAGGCAAGCTATTCCATCGGTCGATTGCTCTCACCACTAGGAATTTTCTCCTTAGTTTCAGGTTGCTTCTCTCCTTGGTTCGTTTCCATCCATTGTTTCTTCATCTTGCCATTTTGGTGCTTTGGAAAATCTCTTTATCTCCCTGAATTTTTAAGAATTCTTCAAGTATATTACAAGCTCTGCCGTTGTTGAAGGAATTGAGGAATGCGGTAAGGAAATCTCTCTGAATCGACAACCCATGAGATCATGGATTGTTAGTCTGATATAAAAAAATGAGCCTGGCTCCTTCCCTGTTGTTGTTGATGATGGTAATAATAATAATAAAAAATAAATAAAATAAAATAAAAAAGTTGGAAGGGACCTTCGAGGTCATCTAGTCCAACCCCCTGCTCAGGCAGGAAACCCTACACCATTTCGGACAAATGGCTGTCCAATCTCTTCTTAAAAACTTCCAGTGTTGGAGCATTCACCACTTCTGGAGGCAGGTTGTTCCACTGGTTAATTGTTCTAATTGTCAGGAAGTTTCTCCTTAGTTCCAGGTTGCTTCTCTCCTTGGTGAATTTCCATCTGTTGCTTCTCGTCCTGCCCTCAGGCGCTTTGGAGAATAGCTTGACTCCCTCTTCTTTGGGGCAGCCCCTGAGATATTGGAACACTGCTTTCACATTTTACAGAAGACCCTTAAAATCTGGTGGTGCCATTAGGCCTGCTGACCCCATGGGACCGATGATATGTTGAGGTGACTCCATTGTTATTAACATCTGCTGCTCTCTCTCAGCCTCTTTTTTTAAAAACAAGTTTTAATAATCACAATTGCTTCTTATATATTGGTTTTCAGTCTTGTTTGTACACCACCCAGTCACTTGTCCGTATAAATTTGATGAGCAAAGAAATAAAACCTCCTTTGTGCGCACACAGCCTTCCGCTGAAATGCATCATCTTAGCGAAAGAAATTTGCTTTTTAAATAATCACTCTAGTTTCAGGAATGGGATTTGCATTATTCCTGGTGTTGAGAGGATTGGTCCCAAAACTGCCCAGTTGGCTTCAAGATCCAAGGTGGGAGTAGAACTCTTTAAGTCTCCTGGCTTCTCACCCAGTGCCTTTAACTTTCCGGGAAACTGACTTTCATGTAGACCAGATTACAAAATAATAATAATAAAAAACATTCCAGGCGTAGTAGCAGACCTCTTCCATGCCGTTGCCAAGAAAACCACAATGGACACATCCCTGGAGCTATGGGGAACCAAGGTCATCTCAAAGGTATTTTTACTTATCGTAAGACGGTTCTACGCGTAAGGTCCAACCGCCCCATTATCGCTTCCTCAGCCTGTGGCAAATGGTCAGAGCTTTTAGTCCCAAGGGCTTAGTTCAAGAATACCATCTATGCACCTGAGAAGAGTCAAGAACTCTTGTCCAAGCAACGCCCACTGCAATCAAAAGAAACAGGAGCCGCAACATGACACATCACAGCTGCTTCCTAGACTCCAGAAACTTCTGCTGAAGGCCAGCAAATAGCCTGATGCTCAGATGAGATTAACCACCTGTTAAGTGGCTTTCTGGCCGCTGGGTGAGGGACAAATGGAGATCAGAAGGTGTCAACTGCTGTTTTACTGCCAGGGTGACAAACCCCATGTTGAGAGGGATGGCTTCAAAAGGACCATGGGGTAGAAGCTAAGGGGAATTGGCTTGGGGGTACCAACAGAAGGGCACCCCAGGAAGGAAAGGGACGGAGGAGGATGCAAGACGACTCCACTTAGAAAACAGGCCAAGGAACAGGCAGGGTTAGGATGAATTTGATCCCATGTTGTGTCTCGTGGAATAAACAGCCAGACTCCACATGGGAAGTAGGAAACCTTTTTTTTGCAGTTGGTGCTGACCTCTGACAAATCTTTTTAACTATTGGGTTTTGTATTTTTATACTTTTGTCGTATTTTATTTGTATAGTTTTCTCTTTTTAATATTGTAAACTGCCTAGAGTTACGTTGTGCTAAGAAGGAAGGAAGGAAGGAAAAAAAGAAAGAAAAAGGAAGGAATGAAGGAAGAAAAAGAAAGAAGGAAAGAAAGAAAGAAAAAGGAAGGAAGGAAAAGAAGGGAAAAAAGAAAAAGGAAGGAAGGAAGGAAAAGGAAAAAAGAAAAAGGAAGGAAGGAAAAGAAGGGAAAAAAGAAAAAGGAAGGAAGGAAGGAAAAGGAAAAAAAGAAAAAGGAAGGAAGGAAAAGAAGGAAAAAAAGAAAGAAAGAAAGAAAGAAAGAAAGAAAGAAAGAAAGAAAGCCAAAGCAAAGAACAGGGGGCCATCTGGCCCCTCCTCCTGCCATTCTTCATTTCTCCCTTCCTGACCAGGGGACTGGCAGAAGCAGGAACAGAAACCTGTCCCAAGGTCTTACCTGGTCCCTTGAAGGCGGCTTGTGAAAGCAAGCCCAGGGTTGCACGTTCTCAAGTGCTGCAAATCTCAGCCCCCAGTCACTGACGAACCCAGCGGTCAGTTGTTGTCCCACTGCCTGAGATGCTTGTTTCCTCCTAACCGTGACTTCATGAATGAATAAGCCAGATTGTTCTGGGCTGATGCGATACGCTGAATCAAAGCAAAGCATTGTATCTGAGGAGCGCCCTGGGACCCAACCGGGACCTCAGGATGAGAAGAAAGAGCTGTTTTGTTTTTTTTTATTTTCCTCCAAAAAAGTCATTTATTGAACTTGTTTTTAAACATTATTCAAAAATGAAAGAGTTAAGATTCTAGATAAAAAGGAAAGAAAATATGTGGTGTGAACACAACCCCCCCTCCAACTAAAGCAGGGGTGGGCAACCTTGGCTCTTTTAGGACTCGTGGACTTCAACTCCCAGAATTCCTGAACCAGCTGTGCTGAGGGGAAAGGGAGAGTTTCCAAGCTGAGCCATGGCTGGCTCAGGAATTCTGGGAGTGGAAGTCCACGAGTCATAAAGCGGCCTAGACCCAGGCCAGAGGTAGGTAACCTTGGCTCTTTTATGACTCGTGGACTTCAACTCCCAGAATTCCTGAGGCAGCCATGCTGAGGGGAAAGGGAGAAGTTTCCAAGCTGAGCCATGGCTGGCTCAGGAATTCTGGGAGTTGAAGTCCACGAGTCATAAAAGAGCCGAGGTTGCCTACCCCTAGAGTAAAGGAACTTTCTGATCTGTAAACATGCTCCACCACGTTGAGTAACAATACACCCCCCATGTCTTTCCCAAATGGGAAAGGGGGCCTTTGCAACCTGCTCCCACCCCCCGCCACACACAACGCAGGGGGAGGCCTCTGTCACTACGGCTGCTGTGACTCTACGGCCTGCCCGCCCTTTGACCTCTCTCTGCCAGGCACGGACTCCTGCGAAACCCCAGGCGACCCCCTCCGCGCCCGCCTGGGAAGTGGGACCTCTGAGCTCCGACGTGGGAGGAAAGGTGGGATTCGTGTGTTTCTGCTCGCACAAGTACAAAAAGAGACTTGCGCGGAAAGGAAAGGGAAGAGTATTTGGAACTGCAGGGGACTAACTCGCCGGGTTAGGATGCATCCCACCCTGCTTGACGCGGACGCGTTTTGTCAGCAAAGAGCTCTCGGAGAAGGAGGAGGAGAAGGGCCAAATGGAGAAAAGAAAAGCAGCCACCCGTCGGTTAGCTGGGACAGGCGCCGTTGAGCGAGAGCCGTCAAAGCCCTGTTAGGACATGCTGGACGTGACCAGGCCTTGCAGCATGATCATCAGGCGACGGGCAGGCTTGCTCACATTGTTGTGAGGCTCCACCTGCAGGAACTGGAAGAGTTTCTGCCGCACCTGGTTCATGACGGAGCCCATGTGGTCGCGGGTGATGGGGTCGCTGTGGTCGAGGTGCATCACTGCCTCCTCCAGGTAGCTGCAGGGGGAGGGAAGAGAAGACAGCCCAGAGTAAGCAGCCCATTCTGGTTAACATAGGGCAGTGATGGCGGACCTTTTAAGAGACCGAGTGCCCAAAACCCACCCTGCTCCACCCCCTGCCCCACCCGTCCGCAGGGCCACCCACCGCCTCCACGGCCTGCCGCAGCAGATCGCCCAGGCGGCCCTGCAGCGCCATGGTGGCCACGCCCTCTGCCCGCGCCCCACAGTATCGATGGGGCGCGAGGGTGGAGTCTTGTCCCTGCTGCCCAGCTGCCATGTGCTTGGCTGTGCTGCTCTGCGCAGGCCACACCTGGGCGGGCTGCTGGTGAGGGGGCCACAGGAAAGGCGGGGCTGGGGCGACGGTGCGTGTGCCCACAGAGAGGGCTCTGAGTGCCACCTCTGGCACGCCTGCCACAGGTTTGCCACCACTGCCATATGGTCAAGGAGGGCCTGGGATGGAATGTGGTCAGGAGGGAGAGTAAGGGGCAGCTCAAGCCGAATATTGTGTGAGACAGAGGGTGAAGACAGCCCTCCCAAATAATTCTCGGGAGTATCTCATGGATGCAAACAGTAGAGTGCTCGGCCTGGCCACATTTTGTCTGTAGACGTGAAACAACAGACAGCTCAGCTTTGGAAGAATTACCGTGTCTTATTTTTGGGTTTGGGGTCTGACACCCACTTTTCAATTTGGAAGAGTGGGTTTGCTTAATGCCTGGCTCACTTGCTTATAACGACTGCACTTAACGGTCGGTGCAATAAGTGTTCAGAAAAACGGATCCGCTCACGCATGTGCCTCAACTTACAACCACGACTGACCTAAAGGTCAGGTTTTCAATCGCAAATGTGGCTGTTCAGTTGAAGAAATGCCAATCTGTGCTTGTGTTTGGCCACTGGATTTTCAGCTCAGAAGCCAGAGAGGCAGTTGGCAGCCGGTGCCTCCCGCCCAACAAAACCAAAATTACATACGAAAGAACGCTGTGCACATACGGTTGCTCTGCCTTTCCCCAATCTGGATTTCCCCCCCCCCTTTCTTTTTAAGACCACAGTCTTGCCAGGGGAATTATCCACTGTAATCCTTTTGAAAGCCAGACAGGGTCCACCTTCCTGCACATACCACCAAAGTTTACTCACTTAAGTTTGAGCTCTGTCCGGGAGCCTAAATCTGAAGAGAGCTGCTGGATGAGAGACAGAAGGACTGGCTGGGACAGAGGACAAGGGTGCTGTCCGAAGACTTGCTGAGCGTCAACGGTCTCACAGACGTAGAGGACCAGGTTCAAATCCGCCGCAGTGAGAGCCTGCAAGTGTGAAAAGGGGCATACAGGAGATCCCTAGGAATGCTGGGACATTCTGATGTAAACAGGAAAAAGCACTGGGGTGATTATTTCCCAGAATTGCAATCCCCCCACGCTCACTTTTCTGCTCTCAGAAAAGTGTCCATTATGGAATTCTTAAAAGACCCAGAGGTTCCACAGATGAGGAGGCAAAAGAATGCCAAAAGAGTCATGAAACTGTTTTGATTGATCCCAAATGCAAAAGGAGACGTGGCACCTTCAAGAGTGCAGGCCCTGCTTATGGGTGTTGGAAGGGTTAGGGCTGGAGAAAGGATGGGAAACAGATAAATCTGACACCAGTATGTTGATGTTTATACAAGGAATTATCTATTATTCTGTATGTGCATGGACTGTGTGTATGTACACACACACACGCGCGCACACACAAGCTTGACAGCATGCAAACACCTGCACCTTAAAAGCTGGAATGGGCAACATATAATCTTCCAGATGTTGCTAAACAACCACCCCTAGCTACAATCCTTACTGAGGGATGATGGGAGCTGCAGTCCAGCAGCCCAAAAGTTACATATTCCTGCCTTTGAGAGAGAGAGAGAGAGAGGGAGGGAGAGAGAGAGAGGGACAGAGAAAAAGAGACAGAGACAGAGAGAGAGAGACAGAGACACAGAGAGAGAGACAGAGAGAGAGAGAGAGAGACAGAGACACAGAGAGAGAGAGAGAAGAGAGAGAAAGACAGAGAGAGACAGAGATAGAGACAGAGAAAAAGAGAGAGAGAAATAGACAGAGACAGAGACACAGAGAGACAGAGACACACAGAGAGACAGAGACAGAGAGAGAGACACACACACACACACACACACAGAGACACAAAGAGAGAGAGACAGAGACACAGAGAGAGACAGAGACAGAGAGAGAGAGGGAAGAGAGAGACAGAGGAAAGAGAGAGAGAGAAACAGAGACAGAGACTCCTAAAAGGACACCAGGAGATGCAGCTCGGCATTCTTGGCCTTGAAACCCCCCCAGTGGTTTTTCTTCATTAAGCCCTGCAACTGGTCCCCGGAAGGCCCGATAGGAAGGCCTCCCTGTGGGCAGTTGGGAGAGACTACCTGGCCATCGAGTCGGAAGGACGCATACCTGCTGGAAGGCTTGGTTCAGGTGTCCCTGCTGCAAAAGTTGCAGCATGTGAGCCTGCTGGGACTGGAAGTCTAGGTGGGTGGCAGGGATGGGCGTGCCTGCAGCTGAACGCATCGCCTGCATGATGCTGGAGGTGACAGCAGCCTGCTGCTCCTTCATGGCCGTGCTCACCTCCCCCTTGATGACTCGCTGTACCTGAGCCAAGATGGACTCTTGCATGCTGGACAAACGGTGGAAGAGAAGAAAAAAGGTCACAGGGATCCCACAGCACGGAGGGTGCGGAACATACGTTTCGCACTCGCTCAACACTTCTTAGTGGGTAGATAACAAGATGCAGCAAAACAGAATAACTGGCTCCGGTCCATCCAAACCTTCTATTGTGGCCTGCCTACCTAGCAAATGGCTTCCCCAACCTGGAGCTTCTTAAATGTTATCAGACTGAAATGCCAAAGAGAGCATCAAGTTTAATAAGAAGCTGTCATTGCCCCTTTGCAGGGGCTGAATAGGCAAAAAAGGAACAGCTTGAGTATTCTATTTTGTGCAGCCACTGAAATTCTAGGGAGATTTAATGTAGATCACAGGCAATCATTTTTCACACCTTCTCCTAATTCAGGGGTCACTAACCCCAGGTCCGTGGACCGGCACCGGTCTGAAGCATGCCAGCAACCGGTCTGCACAAACAAGCAAAGCCCCATCCGTGGGATGCAGGCAGCACACAAAACCACGCACTCTACGGTCTGTGGAAAAACCTTCCTCCACGGAACCGGTCCCTGGTGCCCAAAAGGTAGGGGGCCTTTGTCCTAATTGCTCTGAACACAGAGACGTTGGGCAAGATGAGGGAGATGTTTCATTTCTAGATGGAGGGAAGCTTCCAGTGCTGAGAAGTCTGGCTAATGTGAAGAAGTGGTAACCCTCAAGGGCATCAGAACAGACAGTCAGAAAAGACATGGGGTCCAGATCTCTCATAACACACCAAGGCTCTAATTGCACCAGTTGGCTTGTGGATTCTTGTCTATGATCTACCAAAGGTACCCACAACTCTTAATCTGACTTTTGTGCAAGTACAGGATGGATGTTGCAACAGTAGGTGATAATCAACTCCTCCTACAGATGGTGCCCCCCTAGGTTCCCACAAACTCACTTGCCCACAATGACGTGAAGCTGATGCTGAACCTCAGAATGCACGCTGGCTGTGATGGTGGATGCCATTTGGTCAGTTGCGCTCTGGAAAGAGTTGACCATCTGCCGGAGCTGGCCCAAGAGAGAATCCCGGGCTTCTTGTTCTCGCATCTTCTTATTCTTCAACTGAGCCTCCAACTGAAGAATATCTAGGAGAGAGAGAATTCATAAAATGTCCAGTGGTGTGACTGAAGCCAATTTTCCCCATATCCACCATCTCCCAATGCTTCCTCTCATCAACTTTGCTTACAATCCCTGGTTGTAAGTTTACAGCCGGTTTGCTTATCAACCGTTCGAAGTTACAACGGCCTGGGAAAGTAAATTTACAGCCCATTCTTGAAGTGGATTTGGACTTATGACCATGTGGTTCTCTTAAGGACCGCTGTCACTTTTCTAATGATTGTCGTAAAAATAACTGTAAATTGAGTCTGACCATGCGGTGGCTTGGCTTACAACCGCCATGATTTACGACGAAAAAGCTCCAACGTGGTTTAAGTTGGGGGCTACTTGTAATGGGTCTTATGCCCTCACTCTCACCCAAACATTGCACTGTTTTTCAAACTCTACTACAAGGCATAGGAAATTCATGAACTTACACGAATCTCACCAAATGTCTTGCCTGGATATCTGCTGTGGATTTTCTGCTCATACAAAAAAAAAAGTGCAATCTCTAGAAGCCGGAGACCTTTGCCAAAACACTGGAAATGTTCCTTGGATGAAGATTTCACCTGAACATTCTGAGATCGTTACCAGTCCAGAGAAGCAGGGCTACACACCCTATTCAAAATTTCACTGGAACTCCCCCTGTTCGAGAACGCGGCGTTTGAGTCTTGCTCAGCAAGATTAACTATGATCTTTAAAGCCAAGCGGAACAACCTCAACAACAATCTCTTTCAAAGGGGTCCCATGGGAATTATTCCAAATGGGAGAGATTTCCATTATTGTGGAACCAATCCTGAGGAGGTGTTCAGTAATGACCAGCTGGAGACTTCTATCAGCAGAAATAGCTGAGAGACACAGGGCCTCCCGACGCAGGAGCTCCACTCTTAGATCACACCCTGACATCCCTGAACACAAAAGCTGTTCAACTGGCATTCCTTTCACCTGCTTTAGTAAACCATCACTCCCATTTCCTGGATTGGGAGCAAACCGCCGGGAAACAGAAGGGCAGTAAAAAGGACATACATTCTTGCGTGCCTTGTTTGAAGGTGTCGTTGATTTGCTGGAACATCGACTGGCAGCTCTTTTCAAAAGCAGGTAGAACTATACTTTGAAAGGCCTCCCGAAATGCTGTCTGCATGGGCACCTGTAAGGTATCGGTGGCTGACCGGGCGATGGTGTCGGTAAGGTTCTGGAAACCAAGAAGGCAGAAATCCCCAAAGGTTAGATTAGAGAACCTCTATTGTCATTTTTTGTTTTGTTTTACTGTGGGCACAACGGCACACATTAAAAGTGGAATTTAGTTGCCTGCTCTCGAAGTGTACACATACACAACACCCATTTAAACATACTATATACAACATATGTATAGACCAAGGGTAGGCAACCTTGGCTCTTTTATGACTCGTGGACTTCAACTCCCAGAATTCCTGAGCCAGCCATGCTGAGGGGAAAGGGAGAGGTTTCCAAGCTGAGCCATGATGGCTCAGGAATTCTGGGAGTTGAAGTCCACGAGTCATAAAAAGAGCCAAGTTTGAAGACCCCTGGTTTAAATATTTAAAAAATTTTCCTCACACTCACGTGATCAAAATTCAGGCATTTGGGCAGGGGTAGGCAACCTTGGCTCTTTTATGACTCGTGGACTTCAACTCCCAGAATTCCTGAGCCAGCCTTGCTGAGGGGAAAGGGAGAGGTTTCCAAGCTGAGCCATGCTGGCTCAGGAATTCTGGGAGTTGAAGTCCACGAGTCATAAAGCGGCCTAGGCCTAGGCCAGAGGTAGGCAACCTTGGCTCTTTTATGACTCGTGGACTTCAACTCCCAGAATTCCTGAGCCAGCCATGCTGAGGGNAAAGGGAGAGGTTTCCAAGCTGAGCCATGCTGGCTCAGGAATTCTGGGAGTTGAAGTCCACGAGTCATAAAAGAGCCAAGGTTGCCTACCCCTGGTATAGACCCACACCCTTACATAGAAGTAACATATAAATATTAATCACTGTCCCTCTTGAATACATAACGGATGGAGGAAGCTTGAGCATTCACAAGGTTTATACCGTATGGAACAAAACTGTGACTGAATCTGGATGTTCTGCTTCGGGTACCACGGAGCCTCCTTCTCCTCCCAGAATGGACGAAGGAAAACAGGTTGTGGAGAGGATGTGTAGCCTCCCAGACAATCTTACAAACCCCACTAAACGCTGCTAAAATGATCTCCGTGCAACAGAGGTCACTAAAGTGGCACCTGCTCTCCCGTTGGCTGAATCCTGCCAATTTAAGGCTGTTTATGTGGCTAGTCCTTGACTTACGGTTGTAAGAGAGCAGGCAACTAAATTTCACTTTTAATGTGGGCCATTTAGCGATTGCCTGAAGCAACAAGGGCACCGAGAAAAGCGAATGACGACCGTGGCAGCATCCGCGGAGACACACGGTCAAAATGCACGTGCTTGGCAATCAGCACGGACTTTGCAACGGTGGCGGCCTCCTGGGGTCGTGGGATTGCCACCCGTAACTTTCTCAAGACGGCTTCTGACAAGCCAAGTCAAGGGGGAAGTGGGGTTGGCTTAACCATCGTGTCATTTCGCTTCGCAACTGCAGGGATTGGCTTAACAGCTGTGGCCAAGAAAGAAAGAAAGAAAGAAAGAAAGAAAGAAAGAAAGAAAGAAAGAAAGAAAGAAAGAAAGAAAGAAAGAAAGAAAGAAAGAAAGAAAGAAAGAAAGAAAGAAAGGTCGTAAAATCTGGCGCGACTCATTTAGGAACCGCCTTGCTCAGCGATGGAAATTCTGGCCCCCAGTTGTGGAGGTAAGTTGAGGGCTACCTGTAGCTTCAGCTGAAGAGGTGCGTAACCTGAACAGATGCACCAGCGAAGGATGTGCTCGTACATGCTCCAAAACATAGCGTAGTGAATTTGCTCTTGGAAGCTTCTCACCTTTGATTTCACCAATTTGGCAATGTTCTCCTTCAGTGTCCCTTCGATGGCTGTTAGCTTATTTGCAATAGTGTTACTCAGCTGTCCAGTGATGGGATCCAAGCTCTTAGATACACCTGTTTAACGAGAGACCAAATCCTTTTTGGGGGGGAGGAGTGAACTGTGTAAGAAAGCCTGCAGGTGAACACGCTCCGAAAACAGAGAGAAGGCAACATATACAGCTGGAGAACACCTTCCAGCGGCCTTCATCTCACTTATCTTAGCTATAATTCACAGGCACTGGAGTTCAACACCATCTGTTGTCCATCACGGTTAACATTCACATTTTTTTACTGCCCTGTAACCATCTCTTCGAAAGCAAGAAACCAGGCAAAAATAAAAAAGCTAATGGGTGCTATTGGGAAGAACCAGAAATGCTTCTCATGGCAAATCCAGGCAATCCAAATCATGCCCTTGAACTGGATCCATCTTTTTTTTTTTTAGTATTTCTAACTCAAAATCCAGATCCTCGAGAGAAATAGCCTAAGAGTGACGTGTTTCTCCCTGCAGGATGTTTTGCAAGCAATTCGTCACCCGCGGTGCAAGACTTACACGGGGGAACGGTCTTTTTCATCTCCTCGCGGATGGTCCTCTCCAGTCGATTGCAGGCAGCCGTGGAGAGGGACTGGGAGAGCTGTTGGGACAGGTGCTCTTGCAGCTGACCGCTGCGCTGCTGACCTTCCGCCAGAGCCTGTTCCAGCCTCCGCTCTGAAACGAAGAGTTAAGGAACATGGAAAGGAAAGGGTGCACAGGCTACGCTCAAGAGAGCCCGAAGATAACAATAGCAATGCCGGTAGCGCTTAAGACTGTGGTGACGAACCTATGGCACACGTGCCACAGGTAGCATGCAGAGCTCTCTCTGTGGGCATGCGCGCCGTCGCCCCAGTCCTAGGCCTTCAGCTGGCTTTTATAAAACCTTTTCGCTTTAGACCTCTGCCGACGTGTGCAAAAAAAAAAAAAAAAGGGTTCAATCAAGTGTTCCAATATCTCAGGGGCTGCCATAAAGAAGAGGGAGTCAAGCTATTTTCCAAAGCGCCTTAAGGCAGGACAAGAAGCAACGGGTGGAAACTAATCAAGGAGAGAAGCAACCTAGAACTAAGGAGAAACTTCCTGACAGTGAGAACAATTAACCAGTGGAACAACCTGCCTCCAGAAGCGGTGAATGCTCCAACACTGGACGTTTTTAAGAAGAGACTGGACAGCCATTTGTCTGAAATGGTATAGGGTTTCCTGCCTGAGCAGGGGGTTGGACTAGATGACCTTCAAGGTCCCTTCCAACTTTACTATTATTATTATTATTATTATTATTATTATTATTATTATTATTATAACTTCTCCTGGGGAAAAAAAAGATCTCACAAAGTTGGAATTGATTGATTGAACTTTTTAGTCCCACCCCGTCTGCCGTTACCACCGCAGCCATGCCCACCCATTGGCTACGCCCACCTGGCACCCAACGATACATAAGTGGGCTTTGGGTTACAATTTGGGCACTCGGTCTCTAAAAAGTTCGCCATCACTGACTTAAGACTTATATACCGCTTAATAATGCTTTACAGCCCTCTCTAAGTGGTTTGCAGACTCAGCATCTTGGCCCCCCCCAACAATCTGGGTCCCCATTTTACCGACCTCAGAAGGACGGAAGGCTGAGTCAACCTTGAGCCGGTCAGGATTGAACTGCTGGCAGTCGGCAGAATTAGCCGACACTACTGCATTCTAACCTCTGCTCTACCACAGCTCTGATCAGACTCAATGGCAAGGCTTCAGATATGCAACTTAGTAAGGCTTGGCTTGAGAGACAGTTTGGTGCAATGGTTAAGACGTCAGGCTAGGAACCAGGAGACCGCGAGTTTCTAGTCTCACCTTAGCCACAATGCCGGCTGGGTGATCCTGATTTTTTTTCTCAGCCCTAGGAAGCAGGCAATGTCAAACCCTTTCTGAAAAACCTTGCTAAAAAAACCTGCAGGGACTTGTCCAGGCAGTCTCTAAGAATCAGAAGGGGGAAAAAATGGCTTGGCAAGGCTTATATTTGGCTTAAGGCTCTCAGACACACTATAAGCACGGCTAGCTAGTAATTTTTGCAATACATTAGGAAAGAAACACTAAGCAGTTTTTTGCCTGAATGTGCAATTCTCTAGTCTGATACTTCTTTCTTTCAGGGCCATCATGATACAGTAGTTAAAGTGCTGGCCCAGAAATTGGGAAATCCAAATTCTAGTCTTCTTTAGCCCCAGGCACCAGTTGGGAGATGTTGGGCTGATCACTCCCTCTCAACCTTAAATAAATAACTGCAGCAAACAAGTCGATAAAACAAAACCTCTTGTTGAACTATGCGCTGATAGCTTTGTGGTAAGAACTAGGAGAGCATTGTTATGGGATGAAAAATAACAATATCAAGTTCTCTTTCTCGCCCTCTCGCCTTTTTATTGACTTACAGACTTTTTATCTTTTGTTCCTAGGCCTTGAAGATAACATTTCTTTGCTGGCAAACTTTGGCTGTCACTTTAACTCCCTCACTGACATCACCAGGGAAAAAGCCTGGGTGGTAGATAGTGGGGAAAAAAACAAAATATTGCCCAGAACAAAGAAAAACTGGTTGAGGGACAATTGTCAGTACAGAAGGAGACAGTTTCCTGCAAAGAAATGGCAACTTCCTCGCTAATCGGACTTAGCTAAAGATGACATTCTTCATACTGTTTCTCCTTTTTTATTTGGCACAGAATTTAAAAAAAAAAATCAGTGCAGTAAAATTTTAACATTTTAACCTTTTCTGCTCTCTCAATTTTTTCAAGTTGTTTAGAGAACACTGGGGTTTTTTTTTCCTTCTCTTTTTTTATGATTCTAATCCCTTTTTATCAGGTTATGAGGTGTAAATACAGCAAATAGAAAAAAAAATCACTAAGTACTTCGAGCAAACGGGCCCTCTTCCTTCTTCCAGCCAAGTACATTTGTGTGTAGAAACATGAAAGTTGGCAAAGAGGGGAAGAGAACCTGTGGCTTAGTGGCTAAATCACTGCCTAGTATGTATAACTTCCCAGGTTCGAATCCCATAAAGGGTATGGCTAACTGATGAAGGCCAAAAAGCCAGAAATGGTCCATCTTAGTCTCCCAATTTAATTCTTTACTCTTTGTCAGAAAAAAGAAATTTGGATATAAAACATGAAAGTCTACAACAGTGATGGCGTGGTAACGGCAGACTGGGTGGGACTAAAAAGTTCAATCAATCAATTCCAACTTTGCAAGATCTTTTTTTTCCCCGCGAGAAGTTGAAATTGACTGATTAAACCTCTTTTTTTTTGCACATGGCGGCGGAGGCCTAAAGCGAAAAGGTTTTATAAAACCCAGCTGAAGGCCTAAGACTGGGGCGACGGCGCGCGTGCCCACAGAGAGGGCTCTGACTGCCGCCTCTGGCACCCGTGCCATAGGTTCGCCACCACTGGTCTACAAGAACGCAAGGCCACTACGGTGACCGCCAAACCCAATGCTGAATGGGACAAATTCCAATTAGCCTTTTCTAGGGAGGATACGTTCCTGCTCGTGCTGGGAGTCGACCACCCGCTCGATGTGACCCATAAGAGAGCTCTGGACGGCATCCAGGTGATCTGCCAGCCTCTGCATCAGCTCCATCTGATTTTGTCTCAGTTCAGCAATCTCCCTTTGCTGAGTCCTGAGCAGGGACATCAGCTCCTCCTGGTACCCGGGAGCACTCTAGAGAGAAAAGGCACAAGATAAACACCGGCATGCTGTGGTTTTCAGTGGATCTTGCTGTTTTTGTTCAGAGAAATCCAACTGAGTTTGTCCCTCTTTTTCTCTTATATATATATGTATTTTATTGATTTTCTCATTTTACAATCAGACATTGAAAAAGCAGCGTGTTGTCTGGGTCAATCAATAATTCAGTGATGTACATAAATCTTTAGTGTAAGTCTAATATTACAACATCAAGCATTTCCCCTCTTTTTTTCTGGTGGTACCTGTTTTCCCAGAGTGGGCAAACACAAATACAAATTACAAAGATGTTTTTATTTAGTTGATCATAAATAGTAAGGGCTTGTCCCTCTTGTAGAGAATGAACTGGACCCGTGGCCCACGGGGGTCATTCGGGAGAATGGCAGAAAATACTCATAAATGACGCCAACGAAGAAACGTTTGGGAAGAAGCATTTATTTCAGTTAACGTCTGTGGCCTCAGGATCAGAAGAACTACATGGAACTGTCCATGTTCTAATCTGCTTTCTTAATACAGATTTCAACATTACTTTATTGTACTACTTTTAAATACATCAGCGTGGCCAGCTTTAACTTAGGCTTGATTGGGAGGCAATTATTCCAACAGGCTCACTTTCTCCTGATAGAAAGAAGGAACCAGGTGAGCAGATCAACCCTCAAGGTAACGACATCGAGTTTTAAATTCTTAAGGCAAGCGTGATCCTGGGTGCGAATGATCAATAAAAAATCTAGGAAGAGAGCCCTAACCATTGATATCATTGCGACGACTTCATTTCATCCCACAATTCTAAATCTATGCAAATCTGGGGCGGGAGGGAGGGGGGGGAGAAGTAGAAAGGAGTTTCTTATGGGGAAAAGAAACTGCAAAAAAATAATAATAAATAAAGTGTTTGCACTAACCTGCTGATCAAAGGACCCCGGGGACTGTGTCGCATCCCTACAACCGAAGAAAAGGCGTTAAGCGAGGCATTGTCAGGAAGAACATTACAACTTCAATTTCAATGGCTCTTCCTTAGACAGAAAACAATCTTCTTCTGATAATTTCTCACCCCAGTTAACTGAGTTGTCTTGTTTTCTCAATACCGTGACAACAATAAATGGAAGCACGTAAGTTAAAAAAGCCCAAGGACAAATTCCTAGCTTGACAAAGATAACGGGTCTTTTCCAACTTGGCGCCTCCCCAGATGTAGGGCAGTACAACCGTTTGCACTGTACAGTGCAAGGAGGTTGATTGTTTTAAAATAGGTTGAAAGGTAATGGTGGGCTTGAATATCACATTTGAGATTGATAGATAGATGGCTAGACAGAAAGACAGACAGACAGATAAGAAGCTAGCTAGTATCTCAAAGGATTCCTAGTATTCAGCAGATGTCATTCCTGCGTTTTAATGTTCTAAATTCAGGGTAGAAGTATAATTCCAACAAACGTCTATGGCAGGGGTAGGCAACCTTGGCTCTTTCATGACTGGTGGACTTCAACTCCCAGAATTCCTGAGCCAGCATGAGGGAAACTTGGGCCCCTTCATGACTCGTGGACTTCAACTCCCAGAATTCCTGAGCCAGCGTGGCTCAGCTTGGAAACCTCTCCCTTTCCCCTCAGCATGGCTGGCTCAGGAATTCTGGGAGTTGAAGTCCACGAGTCATGAAAGAGCCAAGGTTGCCTACCCCTGGTCTATGGAGATTCTCAGTCATCCAGGTTGCAGTTGTTCCCCAGATGCTTTTTCACGATGCAACTGGACTTTCTTGTTTTTCTTTGAAGATGTTTTGCTTCTCATCCAAGAAGCTTCTTCAGCTCTTCTGTTCCCCAACCATCCGGTCAGAGCTGAAGAAGCTTCTTGGATGAGAAGCGAACCGTCTTCAAAGAAAAACAAGGAAGTCCAGTTGCCTCGTGAAAAAGCACTTTTGGCTAAAATCCCAACAGAAGACTTGCTGGTTGGCAATGCCCCCTTTTGGCGCTCTGTAAGTAAGGCAGTGTATGGTGACACTCCAGGTGAAAGAGGGTATAGATGAGGAGTCTCCAAACTTCAGAACTTTAAAGACTTGTGGACTTCAACGCCCAGAATTCCTCAGCCCAGCATGGCTAGCAGAGGTATTCTGGGAGTTGAAGTCTACAAGATTTAAAATTCCCAAGTTTGGAGACACCTGGTACAGATGTTACACTTGTGAGACTAAAAACTTAAAAAGAAATGGTTTGTATGCATGTGGGTTTGTATGCATCTCTCTCTTTCTGCCAATCTATCATCTTTCTTTCTTTCTTTCTTTCTTTCTTTCTTTCTTTCTTTCTTTCTTTCTTTCTTTCTTTCTTTCTTTCTTCCTTCCTTCCTTCCTTCCTTCCTTCCTTCCTTCTTTCCTTTCTCTCTTTCTCTTTATCATCATTAATACCACTTTACAATGCCTTGGTAAGGCCACACTTGGAATACTGCATCCAGTTTTGGTCACCACGATGTAAAAAAGATGTTGAGACTCTAGAAAGAGTACAGAGAACAGCAACAAAGATGATTAGGGGACTGGAGGCTAAAACATATAAGGAATGGTTGCTGGAATTGGGAATGTCTAGTTTAATGAAGAGAAGGAGGAGGGGGACAGGATAGCAGTCTTCCAGTATCTCAGGGGCTGCCCCAAAGAAGAGGGAGTCAAGCTATTCTCCAAAGCCCCTGAAGGCAGGACAAGAAGCAACGGGTGGAAACTGATCAAGGAGAGAAGCAACCTAGAACTAAGGAGAAACTTCCTGACAGTGAGAACAATTAACCAGTGGAACAACCTGCCTCCAGAAGCGGTGAATGCGCCAACACTGGAAGTTTTTAAGAAGAGACTGGACAGCCCTTTGTCTGAAATGGTATAGGGTTTCCTGCCTGAGCAGGGGGTTGGACTCGATGACCTCCAAGGTCCCTTCTAACTTTATCATCATCATCATCATCATCATCATCATCATCATCATCATCATCATCATCATCATCATCATCACCATCTACTTCTGACTGCCTGTCTATGTCTGCCTATCTGCCTCTCTCATACACCAACCTGTCGTCTTTCTTCCCCTTCCTCTTCAGTTTTGGGGACGCCCGAGGAGACACTTTGGCTTTCCAGTCCTTCGCGGGCAGCCGCTGGACAGTCACTTTGGTGGTGAACCCGCCGGAGGTGGCAGCCAAGCTCGCAACTTCATCGTCGTGATCGCTGCAGAGGGAAGAGAAGAGGGAAGGCAGCTTGCCAACCGTTATTCCCTACTGCTGGGGTTTTTATAACGAGGCAGCCTTTTCCTCAAATTCATTTGCTTGGCTTTGCCAGGAGCTTCAAGGGAGGAAGAGGGAACGGCACGCAGCCCATTACCTCTGCTCGGCGCTCGCATCTTGACTGTCGTGCTGCAGCAGGCGGTAGCTGTGCCTGTGACAGGAGCTCTTATGCTTCTCTTCCACTTCATTCCTGGGGCTGCATGGGAAAAAAGAAAAGAAAGAAAAACCCATCAGGGAGGCAACTTGCATCAAAGCCAAATGCATTCTGCTTTATTTCCAGGCACCAAAAGTTAAGCACTCAGACACCCAAGAGCCACTGGGGTTTCCCTTTCCAGCCAAAACGCTCCTCCAGGGCAGGTATAAGAGAACGCCAATAGCAGAACGGGTATGTACGGATATGTAGTAAAGGAGAAGTCGAAGGCATCGCACATGTTTTATTGTACTGTGAGGTATACCGAGTTTATAGGTCAGCATATCTTCTCCCCTTATTAGAGAGACTTGCCAGACAATTTTTATGTCGGCTTTCTCCTCCAGGACTTAAGCCCTTCTATCACGCACGCTGTGGCAAAATACTGTGTTGCGGCAATGTCCGCAAGAAAAAAATTGGTTGCAGATCTATCGCCGTCAACGTGTGCCACTTTTTTGGGAGATCTCTCTAATAATTTTTGGAACATTATATTTACTCACACACTTATTGGCTTTCCACTCACGTAAACTAGGGAGTGACCCTAACATTTTACTATTAATGTCAGTACTATTTTTTTTTCTTAATATATTGTAAAAAGTGATGTCTATTGCTGGTCTATGACTGTAATAAAGTTGTTGTTGTTGTTGTTATTTCCAGCCAAAATGCTCTGCAGGATCCAAATTTTATTTCGTGCTCATCCCAAACACAGTCCTTAGAAGCCTATCTTGGACAATGGGGTTGTTTAAAGATCTAGGAGGAGGAGGAGGAGGAGGAGGAGGAGGAGGAGGAAGAGGTGGTGGTGGAGGATGTGGTGGTGGTAAAACAGTGCTTGACTGCAGATCACAACCCAGAAGTACAGGTAGTCCTTGACTTATGATAGACCTAAGTTACAACAGACGCACCAAAAGGCAGGCTTTAATCCAGAGGTCCCCAACCTTTTGGGCACCAGGGACCGGTTCCGTAGAGAGATGTTTTTCCACAGACCGGAGAGTGTGTGGTTTTGTGTGCTGCCTGCATCCCATGGATGGGGCTTTGCATGCTTCAGACCGGTGCCGGTCCACGGCCCGGGGGTTGTGACCCCTGGATTAGGAGAAGGTGTGAAAAATGATTGCCTGTGATCTACATTAAATCTCCCTAGAATTTCAGTGGCTGCACAAAATAGAATACTCAAGCTGTTCCTTTTTGGCCTATTCAGCCCCTGCAAAGGAGAAATGGCAGCTTCTTATTAAACTTGATGCTCTCTTTGGAATTTCAGTCTGATAACATTTAAGAAGCTCCAGGTTGGGGAAGCCATTTGCTAGGTAGGCAGGCCACAATAGAAGGTTTGGATGGACCGGAGCCAGTTATTCTGTTTTGCTGCATATTGTTATCTACCCAATAAGATGTGTTGAGCGAGTGCGAAACGTGTGTTTTGTCCCGTGTGTTCCACACCCTCCGTGCTGTAGGATCCCTGTGATCTTTTCTACGGACCAGAGGGGGCCTGGTTTCACATGCTGCCTGCATCCAGCAGATGGGGATTTACTTGTTTGCGTGGCCCAATTGCTGGTATACCGCGGCCCGGTGTCAGTCCGTGGACCGGGGAGTCGGGGACCTCTGCTTTAATCATCCCTCTGATTTTCCTAAGATGAGATTCCTGTCTTCTTCTACGGCAGTGGTTCTCAACCTTTTTAATGCAGTGACCCCAACCGGTCGTAAGTCAAGGACTAAACCGGTCGTAAGTCGAAGACTAAACCGGTCGTAAGTCGAGGACTAAACCGGTCGTAAGTCGAGGACTACCCAACCGGTCGTAAGTTGAGGACTTTCCCTGCCAGGGAGCGCCGCGCATGCGTGGTTCCGCCCCCTGCGCCGGCCGAGGCGTAGCTGGCAAGTGGCAGAGACAGAGCAGGCCAACCACCAGCTGGCCCAGCCCAAGGGAGGTAAGGCACCCGCCGGAAAAGGGGAAAAAATGGCGGACAAAAAAAATGGCACACAGCCTTGCTTGGCGACCCCCATGAAATGGTCGATCGACCCCAAATGGGGTCCCGACTCACAGGTTGAGAACCACTGTTCTACGGAGAAGTGGATTGAACAGTCCTGTACACTTTTAATTTGATGGTGGCTACGAAAACCAAGCCAGGGATGGCCAAGATGGGTCTCCCGTCCCCAGAGAAGAGGGATGGAATCCGGCCTTACCTGTCTGCCATGCTGTTCCTGGTCTCCCTGGTGATGTCCGGAGCAGCCGGCCACGGCTGGCTCACCCCACTCTCCAGCGCCACGTTTTCCTGAGGTAAGGCTGTCTCCAGCAGCGAGGGGCCGGTCAGCATGTCCACCTCGTTGGGGGCCATGTCCAAGGAGTGATGGCTGGGCTCGGAGCTGTGACGGTTGCGTGGAGAGAGCAAGTGGAGAGCCGAGGCGGCCGAAGCCATGCTGTCCGTGTGATGGTTGGAGTCCAGAATTTCAACCGGGAGGCCGGATGGGGCTGCCCCGAAGCTGCGCTGCAGGGTCTCGGAGGCGATTTCAGGGATGTCTTGGGACATGGCGGTGGAGGCTGAGGAGATGACATCCGGGGAGCGCTCACGAGTCGGGGAGGACTGGGGCACCAACAGAGGCTCCACTTCCTCTTGCGCCAGGGCCAAAGGAGGGGGGTTCCCTGGGGAAACCTAGAGAGGAAAGGCAAAGAGATTGACCCGCTTGTAGCAGACCTTACCCCAGGGGTCCCCAACCGCGACAATGCCCAGCAAGCTATTTAAGAAGAAGGCTATGGCTGGTCATCTTTTAAAGGAGGTCTGACCCTCTCTGGCACCCTTTGCTCATTCAGAAATCCCAGATTTTTTTTTAACGTGTGGGAGGCCTTTATTAGTTTGGCTCTGTGGCAGCTTCTTTAGGTGTCCCTGGCTGGCTTAACCTTCCTTTTTTAAGGAGGGCCTTCTGAAGGAGGCTTTTGCTGTTCAGAAGGCCTGGAGCATTTATGATTCAACATAAATGAGAATGCTTCGGTCTACTCCCTGCAGGATTTATGGCCAGCTGGTCCAGCTGATAGAATAGATGCAAAAAATAAGCTGTAATTATTTCCCCCCGTCTATGCTTTGAAAAGGCAAGTTGGGGTTTCCAATGTTCGTCAGTTCTCTTTTATTACATCCATGCTTTAATCCAGGGGTCCCCAACCTCCGGTCTGTGGACCGGTACCGGGCCGAGGCATGCCAGCAACCGGTCCGCACAAACAAGCAAAGCCCCATCCGCGGGATGCAGGCAGCACACAAAACCACGGACCGTCCGGTCCGCGGAAAAACCTCTCTCCACGGAACCGGTCCCTGGTGCCCGAAAGGTTGGGGACCTCTGCCTTACACGATCCTGGAAAGTTAATCCACCATTTCCTGCCTGCCTTCCCCTTTCCACTAACAGGCCTGGATGATAATGACGATGATGGTTTAGGTCACAAAATGTAAAACGAACAGTAAGTATATAGCTAATACAGGGGGGAGAAATGGTTTTGAAATATCTGGACAGAATGGCGCAACTACCTTATAACCACGTAAGTCTTGGTTAAATTATACGATCGTTCCACATTTTCATCACAGTGTTCAAGACACGCCTTGTGGATCCCAAATATTATTCTGGCAACCAATCAGCAAGAAGGGCTGACAAGAGATTTATTCCCAGTTCGCTGGCTGAGTTTCGTAGCTGAGCAAGAACCAGAATTCCAGTTATCAAGGTCGCCATGCGACCCAGAATCTCCCCAATCAGGATGGAGGCTATATTTGGCCACAAAGTCCATGCTCTCTGGTGTGTGTGTGTGTGTATATATGTGTATAATTTGTGTGTGTGTTAGCCTAGAAGGCAGCAGAGTAGGAAGAGCAGATCTCCTCCATCCACTGCACTGCTTCTACTGCACAGTGACTCTTGTTCTTAGGAAAGATTCCCCCCAAGTGATGTGAAAGAACGGGCAGCTAATTGCACACAGAGACAAAACAACAAGAAATGGCCTAACAAAGAGAATTAAAGGACTGATAGACCCTGTACTTAAAACAATGTCATCTTATGGAGCCCCACAGGCTTCTTGGTGGTTCCTGCCCTGGCTCTTTAGAAGATGGGCAGCCGTATCCATCTTTCCAATCAGTCAGCCTATCTCTTTCTCGCTCCAATTCTTACGGTTTGCTTTTTAAATTTTATATGCACGATGAAGGTCTGCTTAAAAAAACAACGGTTAAAAAGCGCAAGGGAGTAAAGGTCCCTGCTGAGCACGGCAGATTTGGCTTGGGCAAGTAAAGGCACGGAGGTTTCAAGGAAGGCGTGGGGAGAGTGGAGAAGAACCGCAAAGGCCTTGAGGAGAATCTACCTTACCGGGATGGGGACCTTTGGGGTCAGCTTCTCAGGAAGGCCGGGGAGCAGCACCGAGTGATTCCGCGGGCTTGCCTGGAGACTTCCACTGCTGCCACTCAGGGCGAGATTGGCGTCCAGCTGCATCTTTGGGCTTAGGGACATGTCCTCCGATGGCCTGGGTGGGGCGGAGAGGAGGAGGAGACAGACCAGTGTTAACCGAGAAGATCCTTCCATCTCTTCCCATCAGAACCAACTTGGGAACAGAGTTCCCCGCTCTGCCCTAGCCAAGACCAACTCTGGTGCTTGAGAGCATGCTAAGCACTGCATTCCCAAAACACAAACGGAATACAGGCAGTCCTCAACTTTCAACCACAACTAAGCTCCAAATTTCTGTTGCTTACAAGGCAGTCCTTAAGCGGTTTGCCCTGTTTTACGAGCTTTGGGGTTTTTTGGGGGGGGGGCACACTTGTTAAGCCAATCACTGCAGTTTTCAAATGACTCACAGGTCATTAAGTGAACCTGGCTCCCCCCCCCTTGACTTTGCTAAGGTTACAAAGGGTGGCCACATGACCCCAGGAGAGGGCAACTGTCGTAAATACGTGACAGCAGCCAAGTGTCGGAATATTGATCACGTGGTCTGTTCTGTCCCAGCCTACGTGAGTCCTTGTTAAGCTCAGAAGGAGAAACCCCTCTTCCAAACAAGCAGGCTGGAACCACAAGAAAAACAACAACCCCCTTTTATTATTCACAGACCTGAGTCAATGTCCAAGGCAAACAAAACACAGTTCACAGAAACTCGATCCTCAACACGAACTGAACGGCTGCCTTCGGCAACCAGCACCTCCCACACCTTCCCTTTTATTATTCAGCCAAGGCGTGGCTTCCTAATGCCTTCTCCTTTGCCTTTGGAGCCGCCCCATTGCATTCCTCTGTCCTACTTGCTTCTTTTGCTGGCGTTTTTGTGCATCCTGGATATCTCCCAGCTGTAATTCATCACTGTTCAACTCAGACTCCCAGCGCAGCTGTGTCTCAGCCTGAGCGCGAGTAGAGGGGCCAGGCTCCTCGTCCGACTGTAAGTCGTGGAGCTTCTCAGAGCCTTCCTCTGACTCTGATATCACTCCAGGCTCCTCCTCCTCCTCTGATTCCTCAGACTCAGCTGCCGGGTCCCCTGGCTGGCGAGGAATCACAACATGATCCTGGGATGCTATGATGATCATACGTGTGAAAACCCGTAAGTCACTTTTTCCAGGGCCTTCATAAGTCTGAACGGTTGCTAAACGAGTTGTTGTGAGTCGAGGACTACCTGTATCTGACCATTTCATTTCTTTGTGCATTGATTTTTTTTTAACGCCGATTCTGGGCAGTTCCCGATGAAAAAAAGTTAACGAGTAAGACACACAGTGCAATGGACCCGAAGTCCTATGAACTGGGCTCAGTCCTCTTCCTTAATCAAAGTCATCATTGCATGTCAACCCACGAGGGGGCCTTACCTGGGAAGGGGAGGATCGCCGACTGAGGTACTGCTCATGGTGGTCACTGCAGTGAGGGAACTAATGCTGCTTCCTGGAGACCCTGTGATCTGATACAAACAACAGAGGGCATTATTTGGGATGCAACTAGCGTGGAATCAATCCCACAAAACTAGGCATTTGGATCGTACTTAGCAATCGTGGGGTTAGATTTGGGGAAGGTCAAAAATAGTCAGCTTAAGAGCTATGGTGCTTTATGCCTGCTAACTTCCAAGGGGCTCAGGATCTCCAGTCTAGTACCAGGAGCCTTAGAATTAGTGGTGGCTTTGAAAATCAAAATAAATAAATAAATTAGAAATTTTTGCCTTGAGCACCAGTTAATTCACTCTTCAAAAAGCTTCTTAAATGACCGTGCCATCGATCGAGGCCTCCCGGTACCCCTCAGAGCCCTTCCATGCCTCAGACGCAGGGGTAGGCAACCTTGGCTCTTTTATGAGTCGTGGACTTCAACTCCCAGAATTCCTGAGCCAGCGTGGCTCAGCTTGGACACCTCTCCCTTTCCCCTCAGCATGGCTGGCTCAGGAATTCTGAGAGTTGAACTCCACCAGTCATAAAAGAGCCAAGGTTGCCTACCCCTGCCTCAGTGGCTTCTTTTCGTTCAAGTCCAGGAAATAACGGATGAAACCTAAACAGAACCTCAATTTGGTTCTGTACTTTGCACGGATGAAGATAGCAAGTGAAACTGGCCACCAATCCAGCCCAGAAGAAGACCAGATGCTTCTTCTGAAGGCATTCTGAAAGTCATACCTGCTGCAGGGACGTGCTGGGAGTCATGAAGGCGTCTGGAGTCATAAGTTTGGGTTTGGTGTCATTAGATGGCGGGAGGAAGTCCACGGGCATCGACAGTTCCGAAATGCGTCGCAAGTCTGGCTGGGAGCCGTGGATGGATCCCTTCTCAGAGGCCCGCCCTTCCATGCCTATGTCAGCCAGGTGATCGGGGAATGCTTCAGCACACAAAGGGACAGATTAACACAAAGGTGTGCAAAGAAAGAAAGATACAGCGAAGCGTCCTTTTAGTTAAGGACGAATAAAGCAACGTGGCTGAGAGGAGTCACAGCAAGCTACCTATCCTGAAGATAGGGCAAATAGAAAAAAAACTCAAGACATGATCAGAGACACAGCCTCTTTCCTTAACCGTCCTCTCTATAACCAACCAGGGAACGTGGCAGTGTGTGTTACTGTGGCAGAGATTTTGTGATATTTTCACATTGATATTTTGAACTGATTGTATTGTGGTAGTAAACCAGTGACTATTGATACAGTTTAAACTATAAGTACATTTTTTTTCCGTTTCCTTCTTAGTTTGTATGCTTAGTTAGCTGGGATTGTCCTCTTTTTTTTTTTAAAGTAAAGCTTTCTTTCAACGTGTAAAAATTATTTTGTTAATTGTGTATGTATAATTTTTTTTTTAGAAAAAAGGAGGGAGAGAGGGAAAGAAGGAAAAAAGAAGAAACCCTCCATATTGTAAATTCAAACTTGGAAACCCAGTTTATAAAAAGTACAAATGCACCAATCTGGATAATTTATGCCAATCACTAAATTGCAGATACATACATACACACACATATATATATACACACATATACACATACATACATACATACATATATATATAAAAAAATTGCCAGTCTTTTATAAACAATACACACACACACACATAGTAAGTGTCTAATAGAGCACCGGGTCTACTGTTATGATTACTTTTGCCTTTCAGCCTCAATCTAGGAGCGTTTTGCAGGCTCAAGTTGCTACTGTGATAAACTATTTCTGTAAATTTAGATTTTGCTGACAAAGAGTTAAAGGGAGACTACTTTCAGCAAAATTAATCGTAACAGTAGACCAGGTGCTCTATTAGACACTTACTATGTATCCTCCCCGGTTTCAGCTGACAGGAGTGAGGAGAACCTGTGGCCTAGAGGTTAATACAGCTGCCTAACGTGCAAGCTGCCCAGGTTCGAATCTCAGAAGGGCATGGCTAGCTGATGAGAGCCAAATAGCTCGAAATAGCTATACTAGCCTCCCTTTAAGAAACAAAAAAAGAAAGCTCTTCCAGGTTCTGCCCAGGATTTGTCTAGAAAAATAGACAAGAGAACTCACCAAAGTCTTCACGGGAACCATGGGGAGGGACAGGAGTGGCCGTATCTGGACTGTGGAGGGGCTGGAACCTTATCTGGACATCTTGAAGGGCCCTGTAAAGTTTAGGCAAAGGACTTCAGGTTACACACTTTATCTAACTTCCTCAGGGCACTCGTTCCCCTGAAATCTGCATCATACAAAGCTAGTGATGCCCTCACATCAGCGCCTCCCACCTTCATTTCAGGTAGAACGGAGGCCATACCCCAAAAATGAGAGGGCAAAATAACTTACTTGGTGTGGACACAGAAGAGCTTGATCAGCACCCCTGCTGCCGATCCTGAAGCGCCAGAACCTTGAGCGCCTTCTGAAAAAAAGGAAGAAGCCCGACGGAAGAAAATTAATCGTTCCCGCTTGTCATCACCAGAGCCAGCCAAAGCCGCAAAAGAATAGGAGAATCTCCCAGACATTACATTGAAACAGAAGCGGTTTATGAACCTTTTTGGTTTAACTAAAGAGCCGTGCAGGTGTTTGTTTGTTTTCTTCTCTCCTCTACCAAAATGCTAGAAATCATTTAAGATGATCCAAACGTTGAGGAATTTGGGACTATAAAAGCACGTTTAGCTTCACACTGGGCAGCTTTTGCTACTGGAAGATGGACAATCTAAAAAAGGGGATTCTGCAAACGGAGGGAGGAAGAGGCTATTCATGGTCTATAAAGATTTATGCAAGAAAAACCACTGGCTGGAGAACCTGTACAGAAGGTGAGAGTCTGCTTGGGCCAAGATGCCGACAGAAAACTGGACGAGAGAGTCCCTTGTTTTGATCATGCCCAACTCTTGCTCTGGGTCCAGAAATAGATGACTCCTGTGCTTCTGCATCTCAGGGGAAGAGGCATCCGTCACTTACTTACCAGCGCTGATGCCATCGCTCTCCTCTTCTGCCGAGAGGACCTCTGTGTGCCTCAGTCGGCAGCGGCTGACCATTTGGATGCCGAAGCTCAGAACTGGATGAGTCAACAGGAACTCTGAGATGGAGCTGAAGTAAGCTTTGCCTTCTTCTTGGTTCTGGACAAGTTCCATCACATATAAGACCTGCGAAAGACAACCTGTCGCATCAGAGGCTGCAAGAGGAGGCACGGTCTCACCTTGACTTGGGAAATAGGTACAGCCCAGCAGAGCAGGAGAAATTGTTCTCCTCGCTCCAGCTAGGTAGCAATAGCAATAGCACTTAGACATCATATATCAGTGATGGCGAACCTTTTAGAGACCGAGGGCCCAAACTGCAACCCAAAACCCACTTATGCATCGTCGGGTGCCGAATGGGTGTGGCCCATTGGGTGGGCATGGCTGCGGTGGTAACGGCAGACTGGGTGGGACTAAAAAGTTCAAACAATCAATTCCAATTTTGCAAGATCTTTTTTTTTCCCCCGCGAGAATTGAAATTGACTGATTGATTGAACCTTTTTTTGTGTGTGTGCACGGTGGTGGAGGCCTAAAGCGAAAAGGTTTTATAAACCCAGCTGAAGGCCTAGGGCTGGGGCGACGGCACGTGTGCCCACAGAGAGGGCTCTGAGTGCCGCCTCTGGCACCCGTGCCATAGGTTTGCCACCACTGTCATATATACCCCTCCATACCTTTCTCTGCACATCGCTCAAAATCAGATACTCGGCTGAGAGATCCAGGCAGACCTTCAGACTGGGAGGAACGCTCACAGAGCTAAATATATCTGGAGAAAACCTGAAATGGACCAAAGACAAGAGTGGTCACGACACACGTGCGAACTTACTTATTTGCACCTTCTTTTTTTCCGGGAGATCGGATTCTCTTCCCTTAAATAAAGCAACGTCAGCTACGGCAGGGCTTTTCAACCTTTTCACCCATTGTGCCACTTTTAGGATATGGCAACATCCGAGGACCACCAGTCACCTAGCAAGGTGTCAAAAACTTGATGATCAAAAAAAAAAAAGTGATAAAGTACAGGTAGTCCTCGACTTACAACAGTTCACTTAGTGACTGTTTGAAGTTACAATGGCACTGAAAAAAGTGCCCCCCAAGCCACAGCCGAGCAAGACACCTGCCTGCCCGCCCGGCGGCGCTCTTCCTCCTGTCCGAGGTTTTCATTGTTGTGAGCATTTCTGTTGAGGATTGGCAGCGGGGGTGGGGTGTGGGGGTGTTTGGTTTTTATTCCCCCCCCCCCGTCTGCTGGGTGGTTGCAGCAGGTTTTGGTCACTTCACATGACCCTGGGACACTGTGACCGTCATAAATATGAATCAGTTGCCAAGCATCTGGATGTAAATCACAAGACCCTGGAGAGGCTGCAACATTCCAGCTGATCGGCGCTTCTTCTGGGCTCAGCAGAAGTGCCAGGATCAGTGCCGAGCACCAGCTGGAGCCTGGCGCTGATCCTGGCGCTTCCGCTCAGCCCTGACAGCCCGAAGAAGCACCGATCATCTGGAAAGCGGCATTGATCCTGGCGCTTCCTCTGAGCCCTAAGAGCCCTGCAGCTCCAGCCATCTTTCGCTCAGGCTTGTGCGGTGCTGCCACCAGTTCAGCTCATTCCCTTCCCCCGCTACCACTTTTCTAGGATGGTCGCGTACCACCTGCCAGGTGCCAATGTACCACAGGTGGTACCCGTACCACTGGTTGAAAAGCCCTGAGCTACGGGAACCCCTTACTGGATAGTCTGGAGGCAAGTCCACGAGACGGTACACCACATCTTCAGTTCTTGATTCTGATCTGCTCCGGTGATGAGAAACCTCCAAAATGGAACCCTGCAGAAATGAATGGATGGCAAGAAAACGGACTCAGCCTACGAAAGGACTGTTGTGAAGGAAATGTGGCTTGCAATGCAACGGGGAAAACAAAAAACAACAACAACCCCTCCTCCAGCCCCAGTAAATTAATATTGTTAATGATAACTTTAGCAAAGGGTTTGGCGTAAAACTTAGGAATATTGAAAGATCTTATCTGGGGAATCTCAGATATTCTAGAAAGTTTTGCTTAATTACAAAGAGAAAGATATCTCTCCCGTCAGATTCGACAGGACCCACTATAACAGAGAGACAGTAATGCTGTCGCAATTCGCTTTTGAGGCTGTTTCTCCTTTTCTGCGCATAGGACCCCCCCGATGAGATTGCAAAGAAGAGTGCAGCTGTTTTTTTTCCCCACTGGCAGAGGGTTCCTTATCCCTTTCATATAGACCAGGGCCATTACTTACTCTGGGTCTTGTTTTTTATGGTTGTCACAGAACAGCAAACAGGAAAGAGGCCTGCCCTCGTGAGGTTTCCATTCGTGGAGGCACCGACTGGAGAAATGAAACAAACCGTGGCTGCATTCACAGATCAGCCCAAGTCAGAGTGTGTTTTAAACAAGCGTTCTTGAAGAAGATATAATGGTCGTGTTCACCTTACTCATTAATTAAGCTATAATCCATATTTTCTGAAATTACAATGGCTAGGTCAGTGATGGCGAACCTTTTAGAGACCGAGTGCCCAAACTGCAACCCAAAACCCACTTATGCATCGTCGGGTGCCGGGTGGGTGTGGCCCATTGGATGGGCGTGGCTGCGGTGGAAACGGCAGACTGGGTGGGACTAAAAAGTTCGATCAATCAATTCCAACTTTGCAAGATCTTTTTTTTCCCCCGCGAGAAGTTGAAATTGACTGATTGATTGAACCTTTTTTTTGTGCACACGGCGGCGGAGGCCTAAAGCGAAAAGGTTTTATAAAACCCAGCTGAAGGCCTAGGACTGGAGCGACGGCGCGCGTGCCCACAGAGAGGGCTCTGAGTGCCGCCTCTGGCACCCGTGCCATAGGTTCGCCACCACTGGGCTAGGTCCACGCATCACATTAAGGGAATCCTAAACAAGCCACTTCTGGGTTTAGTGAGACATGAAAATGTAGCAGATGATTGACAAGCCAACTTTTTAATAGTTATAGCAACGGAGTGGCTTCTACAATTTTAGACATGCTTCATACTTCTCTGGGAGGGTTGCCGTGGTGCTCTCTGATTTGGGCTGTTTTCTTGCAGACCTTTCATTACCCAAACTAGGTAACATCATCAGTAACATCATCATCAGGAGTGAAGTTTGCTTTTTTACTAGCACTGATGATGTTACCTAGTTTGGGTAGTGAAACGTCCGCAAGAAAACAACCCAGCTCAGAGAGCATTAAGGACCCCTCATTTCAACCCTGAGCTACGAACATTCTCCTTTATTGATAGCTCTCTGTTTCTGAAATTACCTTGGCTCATCTTGTCCATCTATGTAAATCTGCCAGAATTTGACATAGCCATCATGGCTTGCTGTCGCCAAGACAGTTCCATCAGGAGAAAGCGCTCCCTCACTCAGGCGCTACAAAAGAACAGGGGGTAGAAATATAAAAGACATCTTTAACCAAGCGGGTGAAATACAGTAACAGGCATTTTTCTGCTAATCTGGCCGGGGTGGTGGTGGAGGGGGGGACAAGGCTATTTTTTTAATAGCCTCTCTGTTCTGATAACATTTGGAAGGTCTATTTGTTCCTAAAAACCAGACATCCTGGCTGAAGAAGTCATAATGTTCCTATTGGTGGCGTGCTTGGGCCCATTTTGGACAAGCAGTTAACACAAATTGGGAGGTGAAAAACAATCCTATGATACCAGATCCAAAGGATTCAGGATCAAAAGCTAAGGAAAACCTGATCTGAAGCGGATGACGTGAGGACATTGATCCTGGATTATGGGAGGACACTTCAGCAAAATCCTGAGTTTGGATTTAATATAAAACTCTTCACCGCCTATTTTCTCGATCACAACTCTTTCGCACACCGGGCTTATCATGGTGCAAACACCAGAAAGAGCTGCAGGAGGACTTCTTGCTTTTAGGGCCGTCGGCCATCTGGATGAAGACCAAAACGAACACTTGAGGTTCTTGAATTAAGACACACAGAACAGAGAACTGTAATAGCCCACTCAGAAATTATAACAAGCCACAGGCTCCTACACCAAGAGAACGGCCAGATATTTACCGTGCTATGACCCTTCACCACAATGTAGCCTTCTTTGATGTTGGTTACTTCCACTGGCCATGAACTGTGGTTGGCTCGGATGATGTCAAGGTCGCAGACTTCAGCCTGCAACGCAAAGGGGAAAAGTGTAGCAAAAGGAGCATGCTGAAGCTCCATGAGGAACCATCCCAACAGGTTGATGTCTATGGGGGTTCTCAGTCATCCAGGGCATGATTGTCCCAAAGGTGCTTTTTCAACTGGACCTTGTTTTTTCCCTGAAGACATTTCGCTCCTCACCCAAAATGCTTCTTCAGTTCTGACCAAATGATGGGGAATAAATCCTTCCTCTCTCCACCATTCGGTCAGAACTGAAGAAGCTTCTTGGAGGAGGAGCGAAGTGTCTTCAAGGAAAAACAAAGAAAGTCCAGTTGCCTTTTGAAAAAAGAACCTTGGGGATGTCAACTGGTTATTTACCATTCATTCATTCAGTCCATCTTGTTTCGAAGCAATTCTGGACAGCTTATAGCATAAAAAAACATTAAAATCATCAAAGATAAATACCACCTAACCCAATAAAATGAAAGTACCGTCGAAGTTTTGCAGATTTCTCTAAAGTTCTCTACATAGCTCTTCCTCATGGGAAACAGCTACACGACTCAGCAGATCAGGGTGGGCAATTAATTTCCCCCAAGGAATCACATGAGAAATTGGGACTGCTGTGAAAGGCTGTGGAAAGGCTGTGAAGGTGCATAGACACGCATGCATGCACACACGTAAGTTGAAAAACAAAAATAGAAAACCGCGTTCAAATAAAAGCAATGCGGTTGTATTGCGTAAATGGTGTACACTTATTTACATTTGATTTTTAATTTCTGACTGACCTCGTGTGGGCCGAACAGGGACAACCAAGAGGCAGGATGTGGCCCGGGAGCCATAAAATGCCCAGGTCTGCAGTTAATTGAAATGAGAAAGTAAAAAGCCCCCTGCCACATCGGAAGCTGGACACTCTTTATCAATTTTTCAAGAAAAAAAAGCCACTCTCCAAGTCCGGTCTCGGGATTGCTAGCGCAATGAAACACTAGAGATCCTGCTTCAGAGATGAATGGAAGCCCTGAAGTTCTCCTGAGTTTTTCCTCTTTCCTTAGTTGGAAGAGTCAAGTTTGAAGAATACAACAACGTTGCTGCTCTCAATGGAAAAGACACAATGCCTGCACCTGGTACCCGGCCGTACTACTTCCTGCACGGCCTTCTTGCTGAAGCCTGTGCCACTCTGATCCTGTTCTTGGGATTACAGGTAGCCCTCGACTTCCTTCAGTGACCGTTCAAAGTTACAACGGCACTGAAAAAAAGTGACTGATGGCCCGTTTTTCACACTTAGGACCACCCCAACGGTCACGGGATCAAAATTCGGATGCTTGGCAAGGAGTGCACGGGGGCAGTGTCCCGAGGCCATGTGATCCTCTTTTGCGACCTCTACGAGTAAGCCAGATCCACTTAACAACCGTGTTAGTAACTTAACAACTGTGTTGTTGTTGTTAGTTGCGAAGTCGTGTCCAACCCCTCGCAACAACGTTCCTCCAGGCCTTCCTGTCCTCTACTATCTTCTGGAGTCCATTTAAGCTCACGCCTCCTGCTTTAGTGACTCCATCCAGCCACCTCATTCTCTGTCGTCCCATTCTTCTCTTGCCCTCAATCTTTGTTGTTGTTGTTGTTAATTGCGAAGCCGTGTCCAACCCATCGCGAGCCCATGGACAACGTTCCTCCAGGCCTTCCTGTCCTCTACCATCTTCTGGAGTCCATTGAAGCTCACGCCTGCTGCTTCAGTGACTCCATCCAGCCACCTCATTCTCCGTCGTCCCCTTCTTCTATTGCCCTCCATCTTTCCCAGCATTAGGCCCTTCTCCAGTGAGTCCTTCCTTCTCATTAGGTTGCCAAAGTACTTGAGTTTCCACTTCAGGATCTGGCCTTCTAAAGAGCAGTCAGGGTTGATCTCCTCTAGGACTGACCGGTTTGATCGCCTTGCAGTCCAGGGGACTCGCAGGAGTCTTCTCCGGCACCACAGTTCAAAATCCACTGTAGTGATTCACTTAGCAACTGTGGCAAGAAAGATCATAAAATGGGGCAAAACCTGTCCAAGAACAGAAAGTTTGGGCTCCCTGGTAGTTGCAAGCTGAGGATTACCTGTATTCCCATCGTCGCTTTAAAAAAAAAAACAACTTTACGCTGAGTAGCCCTTTAGCACCGTTTCCAAGGGGAAAGAGGAAAAAGCCGCCGAAACGCTTACCCGATCCTCATGCAACAACGCCAGAGTCTGGCTGCCTTCTTCGCAGGTCTCCTCGTTCTCATCTGGGATGAAGGGACACCATATTATCCTCCGAAAGCTGTTCAGAGGAGTCCCATCGGGCCGCTTGATGTTCACCAAGATCTCTTCTCTGATCACCCAAGTTAAGGAACACCACCATCATTCCCCTTTACAAAAGCCTCCCAGAAGTTCAATTTTAATGGTTTTTCCAGTCGATCTCAGATGGGTTGGAAATAAATACATTGCTGAATGAGAATCTGCTTTGATGCAACGTCCTTATCTTTTAGCAAAAGCAAAAACCTGCTTCCACTTCTAATCGTCCCAACAAATGTTAAACTATCAGTGGCTGACCTAGCAGATTATTCCACCACAAGATCATTGGTTTAACGCACTGTGTGAACCTAGTCGCTGTGGTTTATAGACCATGGTTCGTTCCTTAGAAGTATGTGTGAATTAGGCCACTAAGGACTGTGCAATACTGTAGTCAAAACAAGCAAAAGCTTATGTGAACAACCAATGCATTAAGTCAGGGGTCTTCAAACCTGGCCCTTTTATGACTTGTGGACTTCAACTCTCAGCCTGGCTGAGGAACTCTGGGAGTTGAAGTCCACAAGTCATAAAAGGGCCATGTTTGAAGACCCCTGACTTAAGTTTTCATCACTGTTCTTTAGACTGGGCAGGAAAGCTCCATTTCTCCTCTTTTTTTTAAAAAAAAAAGATCAAGAATTGACATTATAGCACAACTGAATTCTCCTTTTTACATCAGGCAGTATTTATATTTCTCAGTTTGTTAAATGCATCAATTATCTTCATTTTAAGCAAGTTATACATGTGTAAAAGTCAGTTAATATTGAGAAAAATTCTTAACAGGAAGACTAGAATACAAGAGTCTAACCCTAACCCCAACTTAGCCAAGATTTCAAATTTTGCATACCGAAATCAAAAAGTTCAATGACCAGTTCTGGCTTGCAAAATTAAGTAATGTAATAATGCATTACTGTAGTGAAGAAGAAGAAGGAGGAGGAGGAGGAGGAGGAGGAAGGAGGGGGAGGAAGAAGAAGAAGAAGAAGAAGAAGAAGAAGAAGAAGAAGAAGAAGAAGAAGAAGAAGAAGAAGAAGAAGAAGAAGAAGAAGAAGAAGAAGAAGAAGAAGAAGAAGAAGAAGAAGAAGAAGAAGAAGAAGAAGAAGAAGAAGAAGAAGAAGAAGAAGAAGAAGAAGAAGAAGAAGAAGAAGAAGAAGA